GATGGACGAAAGCTCAGCACGTTTTCACCCGAAACGAGGGAGGAAGACTCGTGGACTGCGTCAACATGAACATCGTATAAAAGTCAAACGAGTTTCATCCGTCCTCATCTGGTGAGATCGAGCAACGAATCTCTTCTTCATGTACTTTCATTCGAAATGAAGGTCCCCCTAACAATGTTATCTCAGCAGATTCATCGAAACCAAGTTTCTCTTCGGATCGTACACTAGTTGGTTTGTGTAAGGAGACAGTTGCCATCGGACGCATTACTGGTTCGGGAAACAACTTTACTCATTTGCGAGCATGTAGAAGAAGGTTGAAGTAGCCAGGCAAATCATGGAATGCTTCAATTAGATCGCGATGTTTGGTGTTTAAAAAAGCGTGTAAAGTTGCAGCTGGCCACCTTTTCTCTTGGCTCAGCATATTGTTGCTCTATTTCGTGAAGTATGGACACCTCTCGGATGATGTCTGTCGTGACGGCACAGACGAAAGGTCAACACAGTTGCCTCGGGCTCGCAGGACAGTCTTCCCTACGCGGCAATCCTCGTTCGGCTTCCAGGAAGAGACCACATCACGAGTTCCTTCCCACCAACTTTTCCTTCGAAATGCAAAGTCATGTCACAATATTCACAACAATGTCAACGGGGAGCTCCACAGTTCGCCGGGCGGACGAGCATTCCAAACTGTGGAATAGGCGATGTCTGTATCAAAAGGAACCGGCAACGGGACGGTTCAACTCGCGATCCCATTGGGGCTTTGTGCTTGGACCCTCTGCAGCAGGAATCCCAAAAGGTGCTCTGAAACGATTTCGGGTCACGATTTTCACCCAATGGGCACACTTCGCCGACTGCTATGACGACCGTTTGCCGGACCAGGACTGCGGGTTCGAGCTCGTCTTGCCACCCACGCCTCCACGCCTCAGAGGTTCGAGCATAGACTGGCCAATCCTGGAGCCTGGCTCGAAGGGGAAAAGCAGGTTACGATTTCGACGACCTTCTTAACACATTCTGCCCAGATTGTTTGTCCTTTGGCAACACGACATGCACACATTCTGGCCGACTCACACATGCAGACCTACTGGTTTTATCACACAATACGGGCTAGGATAATATAATTTATGATAGTGCTTAGCTGGCAAATACGCGGCATGTGTGTGTGTGTGTGTGTGGATGGACGGGAGGGGGGGGTGGTCACAAAATGCGACCGCCTGCTGGGGTTTGTGTGTTCAGGGGTCTGGACTGACAGGAGAAGAGGACAAGGTACAGCTGAAAGCGCGAAGCAGTGTGCAAGTTACGCAACAGACGGACGAAAATGGCGAAAAACCAGCACAATTTTGGAAATAGTTGCACATCGTAATGGATCTGTAGAGACTTGGGAAAGTCTGACTTTAAAGGGCAAAGGGAGAACGTTGCTTGACTGGTGGTCTTTCAGACGCGAGCAAATCCCGCTTCACAATTTAGTGTTTAAATACGCAATGAATGCCAAAAATGCTTTCTCCTCCGACCGGTCGGCCGCAATTTATGCCTCGTCCGAGACTCCGAATCGCGTTGTCTGGCAATTCGGTCACGCCCCCCCTCAGCCTCCAACATGGCTGGCTGTACCTGCATTCAGGTGGCGGTCACCTTAATTTGCCCAGAAAGACTGTATTAATATTCTTAGACTTGATTACAGTTTTGAAATGCACTCATAGCGAATATTCTATTCGCAGTCGAAGCATGTGTAAACATGATTTGCAGGTGGATTTCACTTGAAGACGACATCGGATTCTTCGAGGTTTGTTGTCGTTCAGACAGATGAAGTCCCCGAAACACTCTTTTTCGACTATTGTCTGTCATAATTGTTGAGCTTACTTCAATTTCGAGTGCAAGTGTTGGGGGTGAAGAGATTCGAAGGTCGGTTCCACCAGAAGACGACGGCCGATTCCTCTTCACCAGTTGTCAATGGGTTTAAATGGAACATTCGAGTTGGCGCTGTTTCGAAGGTTATCTCCTTCGATTCCGGTGAAGAGGTGCTAACATCGTCACAACATAATTCAAGCTAACGAGTCAAGAAAACTCACCGGACTCGTTAGTTTGAATTGTGTTGTGACGATGTTACCTCGCTCTGAAGATGTCCGTCATATGAAGGACGAAAACTTAGCACCTCTTCACCGAAATCGAAGGAGATAACCTTCGAAACAGCGCCAA